AGAGAGAGAGAGAGAGAAAATTGCATCGATAAAATTCCTTCGTTTCGAACATTCGAAAATTTGATTAAACGCAGCTCCGTTTGAGTTGGCGCGAAAAAAGAGGATTCCCATTGGAGCGTCGCGTCGTGCAGCAATTTGATCGCATTCCTTCACGCGGAAACGATTCGATTTCCATACAACCGTTGTTCCCGTCTACAAAATACATGGTTATTTTCGAAACGAAATGAAGAGAGGTGGAGAAATGTCGTTTTAAAAATATATGAAAACAGTATTTATTAAAATTCTTTTAAACGTTAGATCGATAGACGTGTAAAATTTTGTTTTTCAAGATTTGTGATATGTTGATTAATTGAGTGGATAACGTGTGTTTGCAGTTTCAAAACTAGCAAGGGAGTAGGATACTCTGCGCATTTCGTAGGGAACTGCTTGGTCCTCACCTCCATGAAAGTGAAGGGCAAGGGCTTCCAGCATTGTGTCAAATATGAATTTCAACCACGAAAGGTATTATTTGTGTGATAATTGATTTTTTTTTTTCCTTTTTTTGGTACGTTCTTCTAAGAGGGAATGTATGATGGCTTTGAATTTGAAAGAGCTAGATGGAAAAGTGATACAGATGAGAAAAATCTTTAATTTTTGAGAAAATTGCGAGGAAACGAATTTAGAGAATAGAGAATATTGGAAGATATTTGATTATAAAATAATTTTCTTCCACCTTGTATTTTATAGAATATACTTAAATTAACAAAAACCTGTATGGTTATTCAAGAAACGAAGAAATATTTTAACATTTGAAAATAAAAATTTATAATGAAATATTTTTAAAGAAATAAAATAAAATGGTATATATCGTTTTCTCTATTTTCTTTTTAAAATAAAGTACACTGAGCACCATATAGCCTTTCATTCGATCGTATAGAAATAACAATTGTACGGAAATCTACTATTTATTTTTCCTTTTTTTCTTCTCTCTATCTTCTTTCATATATTTCACTAAAAAAAAAAAAAATAATCAAATGAAAATTGTTCAGATAAGAAATTGTTAAAATAAAATTCTTGATAAGAAATATATTTTCAACAAGCATCGATAACGTTTATTTTCGCAGTGGTATATGATCGCCGTAGTGTACATATATAATAGGTGGACGAAGAGCGAAATTAAATGTTTGGTCAACGGTCAATTGGCTTCGAGTACCGAAATGGCATGGTTCGTTTCGACAAACGACGTAAGTGAATTTGCAATATTTCGATATTTCGATATACGTCTATTTAATTCATCGATATTAAAACCCGGGTGAAAAATACCCCTTAATCGAAAGTGAATATCGTTCGAATCATTCTTTCAGCCGTTTGACAAATGTTACATCGGGGCTACACCGGAACTGGATGAAGAGCGCGTGTTTTGCGGACAAATGAGCGCTATTTATCTGTTCAGCGAAGCTCTGACGACGCATCAGATATGCGCTATGCATAGACTGGGGCCTGGATATAAGGTACGCGAAATTAAAAAGAAAAAGAATAAATAAAATAAAATAGAGTTTGAATTTTTTAAATTACAATTTTAAAAAAATTTCTTAGTCCTTCTTTCTTTGTTTAGTATAAATTAGATTTCCATTAAAAATTCATAATAATTAGGGCGAAAAGTACTTTCAAATCTTAATCTTTTCTTCCTCTTACATATTCATTGAATTAAAGATCTTTTATGATATAAAAATTCCAATATAAAAAGAGGATGAGAATTTTTAAAAAACCTCAGATAATCATTCTGTGTTTATTCTTATAATAATTATAATTATAATATAGCTTCCATCTACATATTTATTAAATTAAAAAAAAAAAAGAAAAAAGAAAATGTAGTTTATATCTTACAAAAATTTCAAATATAAATATAAAAATATGTAAAAGAGATATTACAATTTGAAAAAAAAAAGTTCTCCTTCGATAAAAAGAGGCTTTAATTTTTCCATTTTCTTGGCAAAGCTCTCGCCTCGAATTCATTACGTATTCAATACCCTATGTTTCCATTCCCATTCTGTTCGCAGAGTCAGTTTCGTTTTGACAACGAGTGTTACCTGAATCTGCCTGACAATCACAAAAGGGTGAGTGATGAGCCGGAGCTCACGAGCATGGTGGACCAAAGTATGCAAACTGTAAGCATTTTTATTTTCATTTTATCCCGTTTACATTTGATTTGCACATTGTTTAATCACTCTGTTACTGCGTTCGAGTACGTCAGAGGTAATTAAACCCGAATTATCGATCATCACTAATCATTATCCCAGAAAATGACGTTCCATCCAGGACGTTACTTCGATACACAACGTTTGTATCCATCGTTACTCGCTTATTTTTTAAATTGAACAACAATTTAATTTCTTTTTTTTTTTTATTTTCTGTAATACACAATTTACCTGTACACCCGAGCTACCTGTTTTTATTTTTTGCCTGATGCTTTTTTGATGAGTCGTAGTTGTGCAACAATACCCTGATTAGTTTATAATTCATTGAATATTTAGTAGATGAATTCTTTGAATGATTTGTTTTTGTTGATGATTGTGCTGTGTGATAAGTGTATTATTTTAAAGCAAAGATTTTCTTCGTAGTTAATATGATATACCTCATTGTACTTTGGATATAGATTTATTGGTAATTGATTGACTGGTAGAGTTTGGTGAAAAAAAAGAAGATGTTGAACGTCCCTCCGAAGATTTATTACAATCTGTTTGAATTAATATCACGTTTTATTTCGTTTGTGGTATTATAGCACGTTTGTCGTCTCAATTTTTCATGTAATCCATTTAGATAGTTATGAGTCAACTTTGAAAATTTCCCTTTAAATTTTACACACGTATTATCTTCCATAAAGAAATAATTCTTCCAATATTTTCCAAGATTGGCAAATTTTCAAAGATTAATCGTGACTCGACTCGTAGCGGAATGAATTTTAACAGATTATAATTAACTCGTGAACGATATTAACAACGATAATTTTATAGGTGCTCTACGATGGAAAGCTGTCGAATGCGATTGTGTTCATGTACAACCCGGTAGCAACGGATTCTCAACTTTGCTTGCAAAGCGCACCGAAAGGCAACGTCTCCTATTTTGTACATACACCACACGCCCTTATGCTACAGGTACGAGCATCGAATATTACTGGTAATTGTAAACGTAACGATAAATGGAACGCTCGGGAAATTTATGTAATATTCCAAAAATTTCAAAAAGTTGTTTTAAAAAATATTTCTATGTACACAATATATTCGTATTATTAAATTTTATTATATTGAAAAGAATTTATTTTTAAATATTGTAACGACAAGCAAAAAGAAACAAATTTTTCTTCAATTGAAAACCTGAATTTCGATATATAAAATAAATCGAGGAATACTTTTTTTTTTTCGAATACTCAAGCGAATTCCAAAAAACACATACGAATCCGACCGATTTGCATTCGAATGCACACTCCCTTTGACACAAGAGTCAAAAAATCGCGTTTATCTCGAAGCGTTCCAATTGTTTTTCTTTTTTTTTTTTTTCTTTACACCCGAATATAGAACACTGCAGAACACTTGGAAATCCAGCTATCGAACATTTTTTTACTGTCTATTTGTAGGATGTTAAAGCTGTCATCACGCATTCCATTCATAGCACGTTAAATTCCATTGGTGGCATTCAAGTGTTGTTCCCTTTGTTCTCGCAACTAGATATGCCTTACGATTGTATAGCTCCCAACGATGTTAAACGAGATCCAACGTTATGGTAAATATCTGGCCAAAGCAATTAAATCGTCGAAATAATGAATGAAATATTCTCCCATCGTCTCGATTTGAATTTCAGCTCGAAATTGTTGGGGTTTATTTGCGATCTTGTCGAGAGTTCGCAAACGGTGCAGCAACACATGGTGCAAAACCGTGGGTTCTTGGTGATCAGTTACATGCTGCAGAGAGCGAGCAGAGACCATCTCACTACGGAAGTTCTCGCGTCCTTCTTGGAGCTGACGAAACATCTGGTCACTTGTCTTAGCGCGAACAGCGATTTGTTATTGAAACAGGTATCGATTTAGTCATTAGTTTGATCCTTCGTACGGATTTAGAGTTTAAATTAACGTTTAATTGATAATTAGCGTGTAAGTTAATTTAGACGAGAGATAGAAGTGGAGGTTGAAGTGGTAGAAGTTTCGACGGAGAATTCGACTGGAATTCTCGAGTCGAGTAGGTGTAGATTCGAAGGAAGTAAGAACGGGACAGATTAGTTTGCACGAAAGTAGTGGTTCAAGATAAATAAAGTATATATAATCGTATATATATAAGCATTGTTCGTGATAGGTGGTAAGAAATAATTCATCAACGTGATGTCAGAAATTAAAATGATATATAATAACATGACATAGAAATAATTTTTTTTTTCTCTCAAATTCAACGAAAGATTTATTAATATCAAGCGTTTGTTAAAATTGCACGCGATGAATTATTTTAACTACAATGTATCGTAAGAATATTCGACATAAATCTCTAATCAAACTACTTATACTAACAACTCTATACTACGAGACAATCTCTCATAAATTGGAAAACTCTCTCATTAAATCATATTAGGGTTTGTATCCACGACATATATAATCTCCTAACTGTTTTCAATCAACATTTAAATTCCTTCCTGGCAATATAATATTTTCATCATCAAACATTTTAACGAGTCTACCGTGAAAACTCCCGTGTGCATTCACTCAACCCCTCATTCTCCATCCACCCCTTTTCGTTTCCATCCAATATATACATTATTATTACAACAGCATGAACATGAAAGATTATTTATCAAGAGCAATTGTATTCTTACTCTTCACTCTTCACACCTACCTGTTCCGTACGATATATATATATGTATATATTTGTTGCAACGCTTGTACGATAAAGAAAAAAGAAGAAAAAAAAAAAAAGAAGAAAAAGAAAATGCTAAGTAGATGCTCGGTATGCTGTTATTTATAGTGTATGTGTACATTTTTCGTTGATACGATCACGATGCATCAATGACTTCAAAGCATGAATTGTATTATACTTTCCCTCAATGAAATGACATTATGCTATGAACTCGAATCTTTGGATCGCATGCAATCTACCGACTTTTAGGCTTCCTGATTTCATAATATGGCTACGCAAAATATATTTTTCGTTCACACTAAATTTTGCTTCCATACCGAACAAACCTTTCTCTCTCTCTCTCTC